CCCCCCCGAAGAAGATTCAATTGAACCTCCTTCATTACATGTAGTGTCACACCACTGCCTTCACTGGACCTGTATAGAGAACATCACAGCTTTGGCAGATAAAATCAGCTTCTTGCTAACCTTGTAGTTTGTGCGTTATAATTTAAATGTCAGTTTGCCATTCAATTCTTGGCTCACAGTATAGTGAAATCTATCAGATAGTGGTACTATTGGTTTTAGACAATAGATGGTGGTACTATTGATTCCTTATTTGCAAGAAACTCTTCTGGTCTCACAATCCATATAGCAGTCTTGTGCATGATTTTTTTCTGCAGCTAATCTGTTCAAGTAGTAGACACATTGAGCTCCTCTTCTTGTGTCAAAAATATAGTATTAGTTTTGTCAGTTTAGACAAATTAATTCATAATGTTTTCAAGAATTTTGTTACTAATAGTTTACCAGGAAAAATGATGAAAAAAATCATCTATACTATATTAAAAGCACGAAGGCCCTTAGCGAAATGTCGTTCGGCTTTTTTACCCTCTAAAGATAGAGTTCATACTAGACAAAATAGCCATTTAATTATTTCCTTAAAATTCTGGACTTTGAAATCAACTAAAATTTTATTTATTAAATACTTCCTTATTTCAACTATGTACAAGATCCAAAATAATAGGACTCTTCTTAAATCCTTCTAAGTTTCCAAGTTGTTTTTTAAACCATGTCAAGAACCGTTAGGCAATTTTTTTCCCAAGTCTTTGGCCTTTTTATTTTGATAAAAAATAATTTAATCAGCATTTAATCATATTTAGTATCAAACTTAATAGATAAATATAAGAAAATTCTATCTTTCTCCAAATTCCCGTCAGGCATATTTATTTTTCAAGTCTTTACCCTTTTTGTTTTGTTATAAATAATATAAATTATGCTTGAACTTAAATAGTTAAATATAATAAAATTTCATCGTTGGCCAAATCCAAATTATACATAAGTTTTACACCTTTTTAGTTTATTTCTGCTAGACTTATTGGCTAATTTGGTAACCAAAAGCGAAAAAACGCGCAAAATAAATTTTTTAACAAATTGTTCTTTTGAATTTTGGTTTCTACTCTCTCCGTTTATTGAAATATTACGTTAATATTTTGACATATTTAATTAGAATCGTCCCGAAATATCATAACCATATTTGGTGTAGTTGAGCAATTGTACATCTCATCAAAGCATTAAAATTTATATTTATTTTTCTATTTATACTATATTAAAAGTATTAAAACCCTTAGCGAAATATCATTCGCCTATTTTGTCATTTAAAAATAGACTTTATACTAGATAAAATAGTCATTTAATCATTTTTCTAATTTTAGGATTTTAAAATTAACTAAAATGGGTTCGGATCTACTCCAGTTATAAATGCTCCAGTATTTATCAATACAGGTCCGGATTGGAGCCACGTGCTCTTATAAAACTTTAAAGGCTGAGATCTCTTCTCCTTCACTTCTCCTAAAATTCCCTTTTCTTCCAAATGAAAGAATAAAGATAAATTCAGAGCTCCATTATACTCACACTTTCTACTCATCAGACAACTATTTAGCTGCTCTTGCTTTTTTATCTTGCAATGGCAACTTAATTTTTTTTTTCTTTTTTGGTTTTTTCAAGGAGCATTTTTTTGAATTATACAATAGCATTCTTCTCCTCCTTGTATCCAATTCTATCATAGCATAGAAGTTTTTAATGCATGAAGAAACCCATGTAATTTTTGTCAAAAAATGAAGGTTTCATACTGCTATGGCCTATGGAGCAGTCGATTACAGAGAAGAAGACAAGATCTGTTCTTATTTACTACACTGCCCATAATTGAAATGTCTTTCAATTTTTCTTTCGTAAAGCTGTCTTTACACATTTCAAAAACAGCAGAGCTCAAATAGAGTGTGGATTGGTCATTTTTCAATAAATTTGAGTTTCGAATTTGGAGTAAGAAAATATTGTCATATGAACTTTTCGTCACTCAGGAGTCAGGAGCTATGTAATTTACCTTTCATTTGGAAGAAAATGGAGTTTTAGGAGAAGTTGAGGAGAAGAGATCTAAGCCTTCAAAGTTTTATAGGACCACGTGGCTCCAATCTGGACTTCTATTGATAAATACTGAAGCTTTTATAACTGGAGCAGATCCCAACCCAAATAAAATTTTATTATTAAAATTTTACTTATTTAAAGCCCATTAATTATAATATTAGAGTTGTATTGAACTATTCCTATAAGATTCTTTATTATTTAAAACGTGAGTTAGCAAAATTATGTAGGAGTCAAACACACAACGAATTCTGAAAACATAAAGATTAAAAACATATGATTTTTCTTACTATTTGAAAATCGAATTGTTATTGGAAAAATTATAATTATTCTCAAATATTTAAAAATTAGAATGAGCAAAATATTCAAAATTTGAATTTATAAAAATTAAGTTATTTCTTTTAATGTTGAGAACAAATAATTAAGTCGTTGAATTAACTAATTAGCAAACGAATCCAATTCAATTATTTTACAAATTTATCATAAAAGAAACATTATTTGTTAAATTGACAAAACACTTAAAGTACATAAGTTTTATTTTTGTAATAAGAGTATCGTCAGTGAAAAAAAATCATAAAATGTAGCAAAATTAATTATAATAAAAAATGAAGATTCAAATCGGTGAAAAAACAAATTTTAAGCAATAAGGTAAAATTATAAAAGACAACTAAATTATAAGTGAGTTGTCATTTGTTTCTTTCTTGCATTTAGTCCAACAATTGAAAACGTCTCGCTATAATTTTTATACTAAGTTTTTTCTTGTAATCTATTAGTTCAATATTAGTCATTCTTTAAACTTTACATTGTCACTATCAATTTTTTAGAAGGTATAATGCTAATTTTTTTTATTCGCAAATTTTTAAAAGACCAAGATATCGATCATAGTGATTGATGGCTCTTTCAATCCGCCGAAATGGAACGCTTTAGCGTGTACCAAAATGGAGAATTTGGGTCAGAGAAAAAGTGTTTGGCCGAAGCAAAAAAAAGAGGCCTTCAGACGAGAAAGAAAGACTAGAAAGAAAGACTAAAAAGATAGGTTTTCCATCGCTCTTTCCTTTGTCCTTCCCCCACTTTTTGCCCGAAAACTATCAATAGCGATTGTTGCTCTTTATGCATGGTTCCGCTCAACTCTCCCTTCAAAGCTACCCTTGCATGATCGTATCCACTTTTGGAGCCCCTCTCCTCTGAGGCCGATCACATCCGCTTTTGGAGCCCTTTTAATTTGTGTTATTTGATAAATCTTTAAAGAATTATAAATATTAACAATTTTTACAAGTTTCGATATAAGTCCGGAAAAAATAACGATAAGGCATCTAAATAAAATTCCTTCATTTGTTAAGCTAACTAAATGAGAAAAATATTTATTATTTTAAAAAAATCTTAAATTATATTTTATAACTCAAAAAATTATATAATAATAGGTATGTAATTTTTAAAATTTGTGTATTCATTAATATAGGTACACGCACACCCTAAGACTAGTAATAGAAAAAGGAAAAAAGGATTTAACGTTTAAACAAAATAACTCAACTATGCATGTATATTATTGAAACTAAAAAGCACCATAAAGTACTAAATCTCGTCTCAAGAAATACCAGTAGGCTGCCTTATATACAAAATTGTCATGTAAGTATAAGGGCAAAGATTTTTTTTAGCCTGCAACCGAANAAGTCGGTTTACAAAAATAACCTTATAATATTAAGCATAATAACTCATAATAAAAGGACATAACAAGAATTCTAGATATTAGCCTTACAATCCTATTAGTTTAGGACATAATACTAAAATTAGAAATCCTATATGATTACCTTTAGGAATACTATTAGTATAATTACTTTCGGGCTGTCTAATTCATATAAAATTGAACAAGTAAATATCTTTAGTCATGCAATCTTATTAATTTTAGGATAAACTTCTTAAAAATTTCTATTACCAATTTAATTTGAAAATATATTATAATGTCCTTTTACTAATTAAATTTGAGAATGTATTATATTGTCCAAATCTATTTAGAAAAATGAGAGTCTGTATTATTATAAAAGCATAAATAAAATATTAATATATCAAATAGTCCTAAAATATTAAACGGAAGAACTCATAAAACATAACTGCAATAATCTATTTTTTTGGACTATAATACCTTCTACGCTAACTTTTAATATTTAAAATTTTAAAATTAATAAAATCTTATCTATTAAATTCTTATTAAAAATATGTTGGAAGGTTTAATAAAATCAATTTCATAAGAATCCGCCGTATTGTCAATACATTACCACTACATAATGTCCAATACAAAGAAAAAATAAAAGTAATATTGAATAGAATGCATAAAGAGTTGAAATTGAGAAAAAAAATATCCCCACGATAATATATTTTTATATTATATTTGAACTATTTTCCTACTCAAATAATTTTTTAATCAATTTTTCATGTAATATTGAAAAATACCCAATTATTAAACAATAACTAAGAAAATATTTAAGAATATAAATGTATGAGAAAGAGAAAAAAATGGTTGGTAAGAGTTAATACCACTAATGATTCTACAAATATAAAGTTCTAAAAGTGAAATGTCATATCAATCTTTTACTCTTTGAAAATAAAATTTATGGTGGATAAAATTATAATTAAGATTAAATATTTAAAATAAGATATGAACTAATATTAAGATCCGAATCAACATAGAATAAATTATTTTTTATGTTAAAACCAAATAATTAAATCTTTTAATTAATTATTTAGCAAGAGAATCCAATTCAATTATTTTTAAAATTCATCATATGAGTAAAATTCTTATTCAAGTTTAAAAAATTTTTTAGGGTACATAAATTTATTCCATAAAAAGACTGTTAGAACACAAAGTAAAAAGGTTAGTATATTATTAAGAATCAAAATGTT